TATATATATATATATATATATATATATATATATATATATATATATATATATATATATATATATATATATATATATATATATACACACACACATCTACAGCGGAAAAATAACAAGAATAAATATTTTAAATGGTAGGGGGACATGCTTCGGGGATAGCAGATAATACAGAATTGCAGGAGAATAATAGGAACATAAATAAATTAACTCTAACACGAATAAGGGAAATAAAAGCAGATTTCACTGTCAGTACACATCCCGTTGCAAGCGTGCAACCCGATCCCATTTCCATTGTTTCCGTGGTAGGCGTACCATCCGCTCCCATTTCATCAAATCTCGTGGTAGGCATACCACCCGCTCCCATTTTATCAATATCTTGTGGTAGGCGTACCACCCGCTCCCATTTCATTAATATCTTGTGGTAGGCGTTCCAGCCGCTCCCATTTCCAATATCTTGTGGTAGGCGTACCACCCGCTCCCATTTCAATCAATAACTTGTGGTAGGCGTACCACCCGCTCCCATTTCAATCAACACAAAGTCACAATAAAATTCCGGCAAGGAAAAAAAATGCAATAAAATAATAATTTCCGGGCAAGGGAACAACAATATCAAAATAACCATCCCGACAAGGGAGAATCAGCTATAACCAAATCCTAGCTCAACTCTTACTCAGCTCGATTAATACCAGTACTCAAACATAAATAAAGTCCACGAGAATAAACAAAATCTCTACTCAATATCAAGAGTCATCAATTTAAGGCATCCGAAGGGTCATTTAAGAACACAACAACTATCAATTTAAGACTCACGGTCATGCTCGACACCAACGTATAGATACTCGTCACCATGCCTATACGTCGTACTCAACAAGAAGCAATTAACAAATAAGACTCAGCTCCTAGTCCCTCAAGCTAGGGTTAGACCAAACACTTACCTCAATTCCTTGAATACAACTCAAGCCTCAATTATAGCTTTACCCCGCGATTCCACCTCCAATTCGCTCGTATATAATCACTATTTACTTAATTACATTAATAAACACTAAATGAATCAACCCCAATGCATGAAAATGAGTTTTCCCAAGTTTTACCCAAAAAGTCAAAAATCGCCCCCGGGCCCACGTGGTCAAAACCCGAGGTTCGAACCAAAACCCGATTACCCATTCCCCCACGAACTCAAATGTCACGACCCAAAATCTAACCTTGGTCGTGATGGCGCCTATCGTGTTACAAGGCAAGCCTATTCCCAAAATTACTACTAATCTGATTATAAGAATTTAATAAAATATTTCCAATAATTTAATTCCTGATGAACTAAACCAACTCTAAATATAAATAATGTAAAATACGGAAACGAGTCCCAAACATCGGGGTGTCACTACGTCATGAGCGTCTAAAACTATGAACTGACATATATAAACTGTCTAACTCTCCAAAGAAGAAATGATAAAAGGAGTAACAAGGTCCTGCGAAATTAGCAGCTACCTCGCAATCTCCACAGATAGCTGGCCTGAACTTAAAGATCGCCATGCTCTAACTCACCTGGATCTGCACATAAAGTGCAGGGTGTAGTATGAGTACAACCACCTCAGTAGTAACAGAAATAACTAAGGAACTGAGCAGTAGTGACGAGCTAAGTAAAATAGTCCAATTATTTATTTTCACAATTTACAATAAACATAAACAAACAAGTAGATTCCATAACTTAGTAAATGCCACAAAAAAAATTTAACAGATAAATGCAGCAACAACACAAATAAATATAACTTCACAGCAGTGTCACTTCATCACTCAGCCCTCGCACTCGACACTCAACACTCAACACTCTGCGCTCACTGGGGGTGTGTATAGACTCCGGAAGGGCTCCCAAAGCCCAAGCGCTAAGCACGGACAACTCACGTGCTACCATATCAATACCTGGATCCGCACGGTCAACTCACGTGTTACGCGGACAACTCACGCGCTATGGTATCAATACCTGGACCCGTACGGTCAACTCACGTGCTACGCAGACAACACACGCACTATGGTATTAATATCCCCAAACCAGGCCCTCGGCCTCACTCAATCATGTACCTCACTAGCCTCACCATCATCAACAAATAAGGGAACACAGCCCACATCAAGTATCACAACATATTAGCAAATAACAGAGACTGAGGTAAACATGTACAATAATTTCTATGACTGAGTACAAATAATGTCAGCATGAATAAAGCCTAAACATGATCTCTAACATGAAGGCAAACAAGTTCAACAACAAGTAAACACATAACTACAGATAATAGCCATTAGGCCTCACAGCCTCACGGGACGGACCAAGTCTCAATCCCTCGCGGTGCACACCCACACGCCGGTCACCTAGCACCGATATCACCACCAAACAATCACATGATATCAATTTCTCCGGGTTTATACCCTCAAAGCCAGAGTTAAAACTGTTACTTACCTCAACAGCGTAAAATCCTACTCCGGGATGTTTTCGTCCCTCGACTCGGTCTCCAAAAGCTTCGAATCTAACCATAATCAGAATACTACTATCAACATAGTCTAAAGAATCGAATTACACAATAAAAACAACATAAACATGCCAAAAATCCGAAATTGGCCAAAACTCGGCCCCCGGGCCCACGTCTCGGAATCAGTCAAAAATGGCAGAATAATAATCCTCGTCCTCACCCGAGTCTAACCATATAAAATTTGTCAAAATCGGACTCCGTTTGGTCCCTCAAAACCCTCACTTAAAACTCTCCAAAACTCAAACCCTAACAACTCCCTCAATTTCACTTTGAAATCATCAATCAAATCCCAAAAACGAAGATGGATTCATAAATTATAATCAAAATCGAGTAGAGAACACTTACCCCAATCCATATGGTGAAAATCGCCTCAAAAATCGCCCAAATCCGAGCTCCCCAACTCAAAATATGACCGAATGAACAAAATCCTACTTTTGTATATTTTTCTACCAGCTATTCTGCCTCGTTTCTCAAGCCAAACAATCCCGAAACTCGTATTTTATGCCTCCAATGGATTCCTTGTGAAATTCTAGTTAATTTAGGCTTTTGAATCACTCAATTTGACCTTATAATGAATGAGATATGTAGGTTTTAATATTTGCAAATAGTGCAGATTTCTAAATACGCTGCTAGTGGCAATTTCGTAATTACTCTGAAAAAAATCTGGCAACCTAACTTTTAGTAAAAATGACCATAAAATCCTCATACGATGTCCAAATTTGATGATTCTTTTTGCTACAGGTCTCAAAATACAATACGGATCTAATGCTTCAATCAAAAATAAAATTGGAGCTCATTTGTTCAATATGATATCATTTATGCTTGAAGAAACGGTGTTGAAACATAAGAAAAACGAGTGCAACAGAACCCAAACCTATTCAAAACTCATCCGAGGCCCTCGGGACCTCAACCAACAATTCCAACAAGTCATATATCACTACCCGAACTTAGTCAAACCTCCGCAACACCCAAAACAACACCAAAATACCAAATCAACCTCGAATTCAAGCCTAAGAACTTCTAAATTTCCAACTTTTGCCAATTCAAGCCTAATTTTACCACGGACTTTCAAATTACATTCGGGACACACTCCTAAGTCTAAAATCACCCAATGAAGCTAATTGAATCATAAAAATCCAAATCCGAATTCTTTTACTCGTAAGTCAACTTTCGATTGACTTTTCTAACTTAGCTTTCTAACTAATAGTCTAAGTTCCTCCTTTCACTCCAAAACTACTTCGAACCCAAACTACCAATTCGATACAACTCAACACAGCTGAACAACATATAAATAAGCATAGATGGGGGAAATGTGGCTATAACTGTCAGAACGAATGATTGGGTCGTTACATCAAATATGTAATTTGTTTTGAAATCGGACCTCAAATTGAGGTCCAAATCCCCAATTTTTGAAAAAACTAGGTTCTACCCAAAACACCCAATTTTCCCCCATGAAAATCTATGATTTTAGGTTGAAATCATGTTATAAGATGTAAATGATTGAATGAAATGAGTAAAAACTAACTTACAATTGATTTGGAAGAAGGTTTGTTCTTGAAAAATCGCCCAAAGGAGTTGTATTTTGAACATGGGATGAAAATGACTTAAAAATCGACTAAGTATAAAAATTTGCAGGTTGCAGATATGGTAATTAAAAGAATCAAATTAGTATAAACAAAACAAAACAAAATAAATAAATAAATAAATAAATTATGTGCACATGTTCTTGCCAATATACTTAGCGCTCAAATTATTTAGGAGTGTCTAAACTATTAAAATAGTTCAAAAAAATATGATTTTAGATTTAGTATTGTGGGAGAACATGACAACTTAATAATGGACCAGCTCTATCCATTTTAAAGAAATGGGCTGACTTTTTGATAAAAGAAATGGATCAACTTATTATGAAGTAAGCTGTTCGGGCCAATTCTAGTTAAACACAAATATAACTCATTAGTTGATATGAGCCAATAGCTTAACAACTGCACAAACAGCCCGCACTATTTCCATGTGACTTGAAAAAAAAAATTTCAGCTTTCACTAACTAAAGTAAGTACTAAAGGGGACTAGTAAAAGAAACATGAAATCTAGAACGAACAATAGGGTAATGAGAAATCCACTAAAGCCAAAACAACATTGCTACAACAGGGGAATAATAAAACTAGATCATTATGTGATCCTTTGATGATATTAATTCCAACTTCCGGCAAGCAAAATGGCAGAGATCTTAAGCCAAACAAGACTCTTTTCCACAAACTCCATAGCTTCTGTCCACTCCAAAGTCTTCATTAAATCTTTAACATACTATTTCCTTTTCTAAAATATTGCCAAGATTATATTGAAATACTACTTAAAAGATGGAAAAAATACTACATAGGAAAAACAGAGCAACAAAGTCATGGATTTAACACTATGATCCCCAAGCCGGATTCAAAACTGAAACTTCTGGAAAACTCCTTTAAAGATGCTCAATAATATAAACATGCTCAAACCTTCACTGATTGCTATTACAAAGGATGAAGCATTACCTGAAATGTAGAAAACACCAAAATACAGCAGAATGAAGTGAAATTTCAGCATAAATGACAGCCAAAAATAGCAACAACCAGCAGCAAATCAGCAACTTTTAACCCGAGAAACAACCTAGAAAAGACCCTTAAACTTAGTAACTTTAAAAGAAGAAGGATCCCAGCAATCGACTTCAACACTCTTATGCTTTAGAAAGGTCTTGCTCACAGAGAATTCACTCACAAAAGCTCACCACTTTCAACTTACTACTAAGTGTTTAGATCCTATTTTTACTCTCAAAGTTGTCTTTTTAGTGTATAAAAGATGTCTTTTTCAAGTGTGTTCAAGCAACTCTCTAGATGTTATCAAAGTGTGTCCAGATGTGTGTGTTCGACTCCTCTTTATATAGGAGAAGAAAGGACTTTGGGACAGATTTGGTTTAGCCAAAAATCTATCCAAAAATGATGGATTTTTGACCAAAAATCTGTCCAAAACCAGAATTTTGGTGAATGAACAGTTTTTCTTATCAATTGTGGACAGAATTTGGAGTATTGCACTCCAAAACAGTCCGCAACACTAAAAGCAACCAAGCAAAGGACCCTACACTCAAGTATTCTCTTTTCTTTCCCTTTCCTCTTAATTTCTCAAACCAAATTCAAAGCTAACTAGTCCACAAAGAGAAACCAGATTCAATCTAGTTCAAACAGTTAGTAATTCGAAAAAGATTAGTTAAGAGTCAACTAGTAGGAATTAAACATGACTGAACCATATAATTACCTATACTAAACAACTACTTCAAGTTTAATCTAGTTAATTAGGATTAACACTAAATCTTTAAACGCACAAACTATTAACTCAAACTAAAACATGACATCATAAGAAAACAACTCAAAACTACAATCCAGTAGGTGATTCAAGCCTAACGAGCGACTAAGCATCATCACCAAAATCAAACCATACTAACATAAGCAAACTGAGTCTAAGTTCAATTCTAAGAACTATCAAAATCCAAATTAAAGAAGCATGGAATGACATATTTAAGATTTCATAAAGCGACTACCAATACTAATAATCAGAGACGGAAACAAAACAAGACGATTAGGCAAAACCTGTATTAACAGTGGCATATTCCATCGAAATTGATTAACTTGAACAACGACAAAAATCAGAAATTAGACTAAACATGAACGTTGAATAAAAATAATATAAACTAATCTACAACAAAACTACAAACAAATGACACAGAAATAGAAAAATCAAAACTTTAGAGGAAACGATAAGGGTTCGAGGTTTATACCAAGCTCTGGGACATCCGGCGTCGAATCGAGCAACGAGACGATGCTGAGGACGCCAAAAGGTAGCTTTCCGACCTTGGAACGTTCGTTTCCTTTTGGAATACGCTGAACTCAATGAACCCAGCATCATACCAAGAGGAAACAAATTTTCTTGGGTCAAAACTAGGCTAAAAAAATAATAATAGAGGGGTCAGTGGGCTGGTGGTGGTTGCGGGCAGTGAGGTGGTGGCAGTGACGGCGGAAGAGGTGGCGGGCAGCGGCGGTGTTGGGCGGTCAGTGGTGGTTGCCGAATTTTTGGCATGAAACCAATGCCAAGTAGTAGCCCCATCAAGTTATACCCATTCATGTGAAAATTAGCTGGAAAGAAGGGCTCAATCATCCCGAATTTATGTAAAAAGTGGTGGCTAGGGTTTTTCTAGATCTAAAATTCATGGAGTTCAAGGGGGTTTTGAAGGATTTGGTTTGATGAAGTGGAAAGAGGAGGTGTTGGAGATTACATGATAAAATTTTGGGGGTATTTGGACCTACCGCTGTGGCGGCGGACGGTGGCAGAGGTGGCGGCGAGTGGGCGGCGGCTGGACAGAAAGGGGAGAAGAGAGAGAGATGGGGAAAATTTTAGGGTTAACAAATGAGGCAAAAATCTAATTTTCAGCTTTTATATTTTAGTTGAGGACAAATTTAGACCATTAGATTAAGATGGAATGAATAGCTATAATGGATTTTTATTTACTTAACCAAAACGACGTAGTTTTATGTTGAAACTATGTCGTTTTAAATTCTCCCATGACAGCCCCTTGTCTTTCACTCTTGGCCACATTTCTCTTTCAAATTTGGCTCAATTTCTTCCTTAATCCTACTTAATAAACTAAATTTATACAAACAAATAAATTAATTAAATAACTTATTCAAATGATCAATTAACGAGATTAATTCACCAATTGAACAGTTAGTTAATTCCTAAAATGGACAAATGAAAAAATAACTATTTTATGGTATTTTATATAGAAAATATGCATATAAAGACACAAAAATTGACAAAAATAATTAAACTATCAAAACACTAATGACTTTAGGAGGTGTTAAAATATGCAAAAATTAGGTGTTCACATATGTTGCAAATGCGACTATCGCAATTGCGAAGCAGCCTCGCATTTGCGAAGCTGGGCTGCTGAGGAAAGGGCTCGCATTTGCGAGGAGTTCTCCGCTTTTGCGAGGCCTGTTGAGTTCGCATCTGCAGACTCAGCATCGCATTTGCGATAATGACCTGACTGATTCTGTTCGCATTTGCGATCTAGTGGCCGCTTTTGCGAAGATCCAGTGTCCGCATTAGCGACACTCCAGTCACAATTGCGAAGGTAGCAGGGAATTCTAATCTTCGCTTTTGCGATAATTTGTTCGCATTTGCAAGTTCGCATTTGCGAACCCAGTATCGCAAATGCGACATCTGCAGCCTGCTAAAAGCTGGGTATTCCGAGTTTTTGCTTCATTTTTCATATTTTTGAAACCTAACTTCGAGGTGAGGCGATTTTGAGAGAAGATTTTCATACCGAATCAGTGGGTAAGTGTCTTTAATCACTTCCCAACTATATTTTGTGATTATATCTTAGATTTAACATCAAATTCATGAGAATCAAAAGGAAAATTTGGGGAAAATTCTAAAATCTTTCAAAAATGTAAAATGATGATTTGAAGGACCAAATGGTATCAGAATTTGATAATTTTTGTATGGGTGAACTCGTATCGAAATGAGTATTCAGCTTTTGTAAAAAATTTCGGGTTCCGAAGTGCGGGCCCGGGGAGTTGACTTTTATTGAATTTTTGCAAATTGTATAAGAATCATAGCTTTGTTTATTAAAATTGTTTTCTTTTGCATTGTTTGATGTATTCAAGTCGTTTTTTGCTAGATTGAGCAGAGCGTTGATGAATTGGTAAAGGAAAAGCTAAATTGAGTATTGAATTGGCCGGATTGAGGTAAATATCTTGCCTAACCTTGTGCGGGGGACTCCCCCTTAGGAATTGAGTCTTCTATGCTAATTGTAGTCCGTGCACACGAGGTGACCAATGTGTGCTCGGACTTATTTATGGCAAATTACCTTTAGGGTTCTTAGGTCCTTATGTTCACTAAGTGGGAAGTTTTCCGATATGATTGGGTTTCCTAATTGCTTGTTTTACCTATATATGCTCCATACGACGTTGTTAGCTTTCCTCTAACTCATACTTGTTACTTGGCCCTTATTTGCCTTAATTTAAGTGATTGTCCTTCTTATTATTTTATTATTTCTTAATTGTGAATTCCTCTATGACCCCGTGTATATATGCTATGTGTCCAAATTGTTGTGGTTGCCGGTGTAGTTATCACGTGCCTTATATGTCTTCTTCTTTTTGTAAAGGTTGTTGTGCTTCTCGGTTTTTCCGTAATTCTCTTGTTGTCGTGTACTCATACTCTTGGTGGTAGAAATCCTTGCGGTTGGGTTGTTGAATTGTTGTTGTTGATTTTAAACTATGTCTGGTTGTTGATTTGTTGAGGAGGAATAAGGGAGGATTGATGTTGCCTGGCGGGATCGGGTTGCATGCCGCAACAAGGAGTAATAAGGGTGGGCAGGTGGGATCGGATTGAATGCCGCAGGAGGAATAAGGGTGATAAATATTGAGGAGTAATAAGGGTGGACTGGTGGGATCGGGTTGCAAGCCGCAACAAGGAGTAATAAGGGTGAATGATCATGTGGTTACTGATATGGTGATATATACTATTTACTCTTATTGTAATTGTTAAGGAGGAATAAGGGAGGATTGGTGGGATCGGGTTGCATGCCGCAAAACATATATATACTATTTACTTTTATTGTAATTGTTACGGAGGAATAAGGGAGGATTGGTGGGATCGGGTTGCGCACCGCATCAATATATATATGCTTATGTATTCCTCTTTGACTGTACAAGTTATTCGGTAGTTTTACATTTCACTTAGGATTTGGTTATAGCTGAATACTGAGAAGATCCTAGTTTATTTGTTTAAGACCTTGATAATTTGTATTTCGCGTTTCACTGAGTTGTGAGGATCGGGTTGTTGGCATTGAGTTGTTGACTTGCCGTTGTTCCTTGAATTCTTTCCCTGAAACTATTATTCTGGTGAATTAATTTTTAAAGTAAATCTACTACGTTGAATCATTTCTTCCTGTCCTGTTAAGTTATTAGTAATATCGTAACTTAAAATAAAGGAATTAGTACTACGCTGTTATATAAGACTTTAAATTTGAACTCGCCTTGTATATATTCACCTTTCAATAATTCAAATTCCTATAAATGTTATGTTTTATTTCAATTAGTTTCTCAATTAAATTTTCTTAACCTGATGATATTGAATCTTACTTTAAAAAAAATTTCTACTAAGTTTTAATTTATTAAATCCTATATTAAATATAATAGTTCATTCGATGTTGTATTTTATTTGAAAAGGGTATTTTCATTATTCAATTGATTTCTAAAAATAACTTCATCTTTTCTTGTTGATTTCCTAATTGGTTCAGAAGCTGTAATCTACTTTATGTTATATAAATGAGACTCCTTGAATATCTTAATTGCATTGGTTATGGACCCTATGTACTGAGTAGCATGAGAATGACATTGTGCAAAGTGAGATAGAAATATGTGGGCACAAGGTGCTGTGTGTGCTAAAGGTTTTGAAATTGAGGTTGTGATATGAGACACCGAGGATTGAGATGGTCGGGATTGTGTATTAGAAATGATGTGATTGATTGAGTTGGCATCGCCTTCTTCGTTTGAACATATTCTTACTTGTCTGTGTCCCAGTTATGCTGGTGTTAATTTACTTGGCTATCGTTCGTTACTATCTATGTTCCCCTTCATTGTCTCTACTGTTTGTAGTTTGATTTTCCCCTGCTATTGATATTACTTTGTTATCTTTATCTTGGTAGTTCATTATCATATCCTGTTCAATTTATTTGACTAGTAGGTGTCTTGACTGTTCCTCGTCACTACTCCACTGAGGTTAGTCTTGATACTTATTGGGCACGCTGTGGTGTGCTCATACTACACTTTTGTACATTTTTTGCACAGATCCAGGTATTCGATCGGTAGTAGCTGTGCGGATCGTCGCGGTGGAGACTCAAGGTAAACCTGCTGCTGCGTTCGCAGGCCTCGGAGTCACTTTCGTTTGTACTTAATCCCATTTGTTCCTTTTGTTCTGGAACAGTGACGTATTTATTTTATATAACTACTCTTAGGAAGGCTTACGACTTGTACTACCGGTTTTGGGAATTGTAATTATTCAGAGTTATCTAATTTGAAGTTAGTGAATATTAATATTATTTCTGTAAATGTTAGGCTTACCTAGTTTAGAGACTAGGTGCCATCACGACTCCTTCGCAGGGATTTTGGGTCGTTACAAGTTGGTATCAGAGCTCTAGGTTCATAGGTGCTATGAGCCATAAGTAGGTTTAGTAGAGTCTTGCGGATCGGTACGGAGACGTCTGTACTTATCTTCGAGAGGCTACAGAACTATTAGTGTGACGACCCGGCCCGTCGTCACGTGAGTTACCGCCCCGTTTTCCCATTTTCTACTTCATTATGTCTTATTACAAGAGTCTCGGGTGAATGAATTGATTTGAGATTGATTTTGGATGGAAATGAGACACTTAGTCTCTTTAAGGAAGGCTTGTTTTGGAAAAGTCAACCGGATTTTGACTATTGAGTTAGAGGGCTCGGATGTGATTTCCGGTGTTTCGGTTAGCTTTGGGGGATGATTTGTGACTTAGGAGTGTAATCGGAATTGAATTTGGAGGTCCGTTGTAGAATTTGGCTTGAATTGGCGAAGTTAGTATTTTGGCGAATTCCGGTTGGTAGGTGAGATTTTGATCCGGGGGTCGGAATGGAATTCCGAGAGTTGCAGTAGCTTCGTTAGGTGATTTTGGATGTGTGTGCAAAATTTCAGATCATTCGGAGGTGTTTTGGTCGGGTTTTTGATCAAATGCGTATTTTGGAAGTTTTTAAGAAACTTAGGCTTGAGTCCGATGTAATTTGATGGTGTTGGTGTTGTTTGTGGTGTTTTGATGATTGTATCAAGTTTGAATGATGTTTTAGGATGGGTTGGCACTTTTGGTTGAGGTCCCGGGGGCCTCGGGGTGATTTCGGATGGTCAATCGGACCAATCTTGGCTTTTGAAAGTTGCAGATTTCAGCTGGAATGTTGCAGACATTTTTGTTCTTTGCGATCGCAGGAGGACCAATGCGATCGCGTAGAAGGTTTTGGGGAGCTATTATGATTACTCATCGCGATCGCGGAATAGTGTATGCGATCGCATAGGTTGAGGAGGTTGTTCATTGCGATCGCATGAGGTATATCGCGATCGCGTAGTGTTAAATGGACCTGAGGTCTTGAGGGGTACTCTGTTCAATGCGATCGCGGAGTAGAGTATGCGATCGCGTAGGTTTAATAGGTGAAGCAGTGCGATCGCAGTAAAGGGGTCGCGTTCGCATAGGCCATTTTGGAGGCCTGGGGAAGTTGTGTTATGCGATCGCAGAGGCTTGGATGCGATCGCACAGAGTAAAATCTGGGCAGGCCGAAGGGTTTATTAAACATTTCATCTGCGAACCAAGTCCCATTTCCACCATTTTTGAGTAACCTTGA